AACAGCAGGGTGGTCCTTGAGACCTAAGTGCAGCTGGGACCATGATGCCTCAGCAGAAGTGTAGAAAGATGCCAAAGACCAAGAGCCAATGGCATGGTGAATGTTTCAGTGACCAAAGACTACACCTCGCCCTGTGCTTTTTTTACCCTTTCCTTGAAATGTTTAATGTCACACTATAAGGAGAAAGAGGAGGAGGCAAACTTTGACTTTACTGTGTTTATATGCAATTAATAAATGTTCTGCCATCAGTGGGGCTGAATATAAAATTTAAATACAGTTTTAGGAAAAATAAAGAGGTTACTTTTTTTAAACATTGGAATTTGGGACCAGTGATATTCATGTAGCGTAGGAAAAAAAAAATAAGTGGAATCAGTCATCTTTTCAATGCCCACAGTAGCACCACTAATGCAGAACATGGCTTTTGGTTTTTTGTATGCAGCAGGCTGGTAGTGGGATTTTAACCCTGACCTTGGTATTACAACACCACACTCTAACGAGCTGAGCAAACCAGCCAGCCCTTAAGAACATGATGATCTAGGCAGCTGCTACAAATTGAATGAATTTGAGTTGATGTGTTAGATAAACCTATTCAGTGTCCACTGGAAACATAAATGGGCTTTCCTTCAGGCCACAATTCACAAATCTTTCTCTTACCTGGGACTTTCGTGAGTATTAAATGGAAATGTCTGCCAAAAATAGGGGGCAGGGAGGATGAGGAGAAGGGCGCCAATGGATACAAATTTGCAGCTAGATAAAAAGAATAAGTTCTAATGATTTATGGCATTTTAGGGAGACGACAGTTAATGACAATTTATTGTTTGATTTCAAATAGCTAACAGAGAGGGTTTTGAATGTTTCAAACACAAAGAAATGATGAATGTTTCAGTGAATAAATATGCTAATTACCAGGATGTGGTTGTTGCACTTTGTACACATGTACCCAAATATCACAGTGTATCCCATAAATATATGCAGAGGTTGGGAAGGAGCAGCAGCATTGGCCAAAGGGTACAAGGTTACAGTTAGATAGGAAGAGTAAGTTTTG